ATATATATATATATATATATATATATATAAATGGACATCTCTTACTAGCTTAAATTTTTTGCATTTATAAGAACCAAGATTTGAACTCTAACCATCTAAGATATAATCAACCTCTATATATATTAAACATGAATTTCTATCTTGCACAAGAGTATTTTTAAGGATTTTTCTTCAATGAGAATGTTTGTAGGAATTTTTTTAACCTCTTATTTAATTCAATTTTTATTTATCATAATTATTTATTATTAAATATTAATATTTTAAAAATAAATTATCAATAAATAAAAATATTTTTTTACAATATAAATTTTTCATCATAAATTTAAAATATAATTTATATATTTAAAAATATTTATGTGATATGGAATTGAGCTATGAGATGAGATGTTGTATGGATATAATTATGATTGTGATTGTGGTTCCTCACACATGTTACCAGGGATGAGACGACCCTGGGTAGGTGATGCTTCAAGAATGGCATGCCCTTGGCATAGTATGGGATGAGTGAGGCAATTAACACGCATCACTTATGTCAGATGTGGCAGCCTTGACATAGGGTTAATTGTAAGAGATTGTGTGGATTGTAATGTGATTGTGGTTCCTCACACTAATGACCAGGGATGAGACGAACCTTGAGTAAGTGATGCTACAAGGACGAGCGTGCCCCTGGCATGGTGTGGGATGAGTGAGGCAATTAACACGCATCACTTATGTCAGATGTGGCAGCCTTGGCATAGGGTTAATTGTAAGAGATTGTGTGGATTGTAATGTGATTGTGGTTCCTCACACTAATGACCAGGGATGAGACGAACCTTGAGTAAGTGATGCTACAAGGACGAGCGTGCCCCTGGCATGGTGTGGGATGAGTGAGGCAATTAACCCGTATCACTTGTGTCAGATGTGGTGTGGCCTTGACATAGTGTTAATTGTAAGATTTGTGTGGATTGTGATGGATTGATGTAATTGAGATGTGAAGATGATGAATGATTGATAAATTAATATATATATATATATATATATAAATGCTTGTGAATATTTCATTAAGTAAGGAGTTATGATGAGATTATGTTGTGTTTTCCCTTGTGTGCTTTCCATATAGATGTTTTCTTTTCTCACCGTACAACTTGTGGATGTTTTAGGTGAGGAAGATCCGGCTATGAGTGGCATCTAGAATGTCAACGGTTCAATTATGGGTATGCTCTGATATTGTGACATCGGGGCAGAGGATTTCTAGGACATGAAATTTTTATATGGATTTGGAGTTGTATTTATTATTTAAAAAAACAATTTGTATACTCTTATGTTTCATTTTCTAATTTATTTATTTTCAATCATTTTGGATATTGAAAAACATTTGTGAAGGTTTTTATGTGAACCCTTTTACCAACGTTGAAAGATTTATTCTTTAGCTTATTTACATTGTTACAATATATGTGTTTGGGGTAGTAAGGGTGTCACATTTAGTGGTATCAGAGCAGGTCGATCTAATCGGCCGTGAGTTATGAGTCTACTATGATTGTTTGGTAGATGAATGATGAAATGAATTGATTGTGGAACTTATTGATATGCTAGTATGATGATTGATTATGTTTGTTGTTATTTAATTGTGTGTACTCTAACAAAATGTTTTGCTTTATGATGAGGATAATGATGATGATGTTGATGTTTCCCTTGTGTTGTTAGTGTTGTGCTTACTTGTATATTGTTTTCTCAGAATTTGGTTGAAAGACATGATATAGCTTAGTTGATGCTATCCATGATTATTTATTTGTTTTGATACTTCTTGCTTATGTAAGAAGTAGTGGTTGAGTGGTATCACTCGTGTTGCGAGCATATGTACCAGTAGTAGTAGACAAAGCCTTGTGCTAACCAACTAGAAACTATTAAAATCTTGGATGTGGGTGAGACATTGATTTGTCGTGTATTGAGAGTTTATGGTTGATGGTGTTTCTGGAATTTATAGTTTTAGCGATTGAATCCAAGGAGGTTGTATCTTGAGAATTGGAAGTTTTGATATTCTTGATGAGAGATTGAAATGTTGGTATTTTCCTCGAGTGTTGGTGCTTTTTAACCTTTTATGGTTTAGGTAGCATGTGAGTTTTATTTTCTAAGTTTGTTGTGCTAAATATGTGAGTTGTTTTGGTTTAGGATTGTAGTGGGAAGCTTGAATATGAAGTTGAGGTGTGAGTTTGGAAGGATTGAGGTATTCTTTTGTGGCCTTAAATATGTAGGTATCTAGTTTCTATTCATTCAAATGATAGATATGGGATGACACTCCAAGACTACTGGGTAAGGAACCAATGACATTTAGGGGTCTTTAGACTAAACACTATTGTCTACTTAGTGATTAACTAAAATTTAGTAGTGCTTAATTTGACCTAGGATTTGTCGAGCTAAGAACCAACAGAGGTCCACCGAGGGAATTTCACCTTTGGCACCAATGGATCTCTTTGAGTAGGCATGTCCACTAAGTATGATTTTAAAGGTCATAGTGTTGTTGAACTCACATTATACGAAACACAAGCTGAGATTGCATTTTAGACTATTTGTGTCAACCCATGAAATCCATCTAAGATATCTAGAGAATAAAGAAATCGGTTGCCTTGTATGATGGCCATCATAAGACACCCAATAAACATCATATGTGATTGGGTCATCCAATTGCCTATGGTATATGGCGACTCGTAATATCATTTCAGTTGTCCAACGACTAGATAATGGATTTGTCTAACAGAATCCCTGAAACCAATAGATGAAAAATGCTCATTAATTCATGCAAGTAATAATAGAATAAGTTATTTTTTTTAATACAATAACAACTAATAATGTTAAACAACAATTTTTACTTGAACCAAGGTCACATATATGACAAGGTGCCTTATGTTAGACATACAACTTTTGGATAATTAGTGATATATATGTATGTCAATGCAGTTATCCCCATGCATAACCTTTGAAGCCCTAGAGGTCACAAAAAAACTCAAAAAATGACCCAATAGTTGAAGAACTCTTTGTTAACAAAATAATACAACCAACCAAGTGTAACAAGTATGTCCTAGTCACCTCTATCCATTGCAACTAAGCACACCAATTATCATATATATCCTACAACCTAGACAACCAAACAAAAACACTTATCATCTAGTGAATCTTAGCACGTGTTTCCTCCTTTGTGATACCTAACGACTCTATCAACAACCTAATGACTTGATCTCTAGTCACGTGTTCATACGAAAAAAACACTCTAATAATAGGGAGGTGCAATAAAGAAGACATGTTATCTAATATGATGGTCATGTCTCTCACCAAGTAAAAACTATTAGTGTCCACATGCCACCTCTAAAAAATAATAGATAGTAATCCTCTATCTATTATCTCTATGTTCCATGCAATGAGAGGAGCCAACCCTATGACATCAGCAATAGCCCAAATGTGATGTTGTGGGGCTCCAAATTGCGACAACTTCCTACCATGAGACATTAACTTTCGAGCACCATGATCCTACAAAAAAATTTAAATCATTTACAAGTATATAATTATATGCTAAGGCTCATCTTGCAACTCAAGATGGTTTGACACATCTTCAGCAGCATGTTTCCTGCATGCGAATGTAATCCGTTGTTGGGATACAAACAAGTCCCACATCGATAAAATAAAAATAAGAAATAACAACTTATATAGTACAAACATACTTCAATGATTGAGAGGTCTTTTGGGTGATGACCAAAAGCAAAACCGTGAGGGCTTAAGCCCAAAACAGATAATATCTCATCATTGTAGAGTATGCTTGTGTAATAACCTTATAAAAATAAATCTCATAAAATATCTCCTCAGACAAATACCATAAATTAACTCAATATCCGTAGCTAATGTGTGGAATCCAAAACAGAAACAACCTCACTTCCACATCCTTTCTACAAACCACCTCCTCTAGTACTTCTCATATATTTATTCATAGAGAATAACACTTTTAGTAATAAAATTCATAAAAAAAAAAAACCAATATTCCAAATTGGGTAATCTAGAATGCGAAAAATTGATTTGCAGATTGAGTGTTCAAAAATATTTCCAAAAACATATTCCGCATTAAATCGGGTGTTCTTTAATTAAAAGGGTAGTTTTGGAATATAATAAAATGGTTAGGTGTAGAGTGAAATTGGCTGGGTGCTAGAAGTAAATCTGGTTTACAATTAAATGGGCTTGGAGGTGGCCCACTTGAACAGCGAAACTAAAATTGAATTTGAAGGGAAGGAGCAAGAAAGTAGAAGTTAACGATAAATGGCTTCTTATAGTTCCCGTTTGCTGCAAATAGAGAGTTCGCGGCTAATGTTACGACTCTCACCCTTTCTCGCCCCTTCCCTCTCTTTCTCCTCCAACTGCCACGTGTCCCCTTCTGCTCAACTCCCACAGCCCCACCCTCGAAGCTCACAGCTGGTGGCATTGGAATATGCTGATCTCAATCTCTCTTACAACTTGGTAACTTTTTAATTATATTCCCCACCCCATAAATATTAATCATATGATATGATACTAACTAGTGAAATGCCATACTAGTGTATATATTATATAAGTTGGAACAATCTTCAAGTTACTTACCGGTTTTTTTTTAGGATTGATTTAGGCTTAAATTCAATTTCTTTAGATGGATTATTGATTATTGTTGGGTCTATTGTAACATTCTTATTGGGATGCTATCAAAATACTTGCAAATATCCCTGCCAACTTTACACTTGAGATGTTTGATTTCGAGAGGGAGTGGAAGTCTGTTGAAGATCCCACATGGCTAGTGGGATGACCATACTAAAATAGTCATACTAGTGTATATAAGTGGAGTTTGTAAAGGATTAAGGTTGATTTAGACTCAAATTCACTTTCTTTAGATGATATGATGCATTTAGGATGGACAAAACTTAGCTACAGTTTCTTAGGTATGGTTGGTACTATTCTCCTATTAAAATTAGAGTTTTAACTCGGTAATATACGCTTGTATTTAATGCCAATTTCTTTATATATATTTACACATGTTATCGAAGTAAAACTACAATTCTGATTGGAGGACAGTACTAGTCACAGATAAGGGACTGTATCTAAGTTTTGTCTCATGAGAAAATATTCTATGCACTATATTCAGAATAATTATTATACTGTAATTTAGTTACAAATTAACCGTGTTATGTTGTATAACCAATTTCAGGATCTGGGTCACGTCAGGATTAGGCAACATGTTAATCCCCTGAGCTCTTCTTTCTCTGTAATGTGTTCCCTTTTTAAATTCAATTTCTCCGTTCCATTATTTTAGCCTGTTTTCATGTTCATTTTGCTAATCAGACATAAATTTTTCATCATATATTATATAATACAAGGATGAAATGTAATTTTGGTCTGAATGTTCATGATGTCTGTTTTCAATTTAGTCTATGTTGTCCGCATCTATTCAAGTTATTATACAGTGAGGCATAGGAACTACGAAATTAATTAAAATGCATTGACAATATAAATGTTATTTACACATTTATGCAACAGTGGATTGTCGTGGACAATAAAACTGTTGACTTTTATAATAATTACTTTGAAAATAATTTGTACGGTGATTTCTGACTAGTTGATAGTATAAAAATCTTTACTTTAATAGTGTATTAAAATTAATCTTGTGATAAGTTGATGTGGAGAACCAGAGGCAGATACAGAAACAAGACATAATTAGCGTCTATGGCATGGGGTTAGGCTACTGGTTCAGTGAATCAATTTGTCATGCATTGAAGGATATTCTGCCTTCCTCTAATGTGATTCTTTTTCTTTGTAGGTTCCTGCACAAGTACCAGACTGGAACCAGGTCTTTGCAGATCCAACATTGCCACTTATGGTGGACATTGGATGTGGTAACTTGATTTTCGATGATAAATTTATTTTTTGTCCTTGATTGTTAAATGTTAGCGTGTCTATTATGGAATGGCTTGGAAGTTGACATTGATGAAATTTGTTTCTTACATACTATGATACTGGGGTTGGACCTGACCCTTCTAATTTATTGAACCAAAATATCTTGTTGAAATTTCTATACCAATTATTTTCATTATTGTTTTTATCTTTTGACATCAAAATGCTTTTCAGAAGTATCTCTAGGACTAGGATTGATTAATCATTTCACTACTTGAGAAACCTATAAGTACACTTACTTGTTCCAGCATATCTGATATTGTGAACAATGTCAGGCAGTGGGAGGTTTTTAATCTGGCTGGCTAAAAGAACTCCAAAAGAGAGAAATTTTTTGGGATTAGAAATTCGTCAAAGGGTATGGAACCCATTTTTCTTTATCACTTTTGGTCTTAAATGTCCTTGATAATTGCTTCCTTTCAATTAGTTTTGATTTCTTATTTGTTGTGGCACGTTAAGGTTTGAATATAGGGGATATCTTGTATGATAATGTAATACTTTCTTGTGCAGATAGTCAAGCGTGCTGAGGTATGGGTAAAAGATCTGGCTCTCAGTAACATGTACTATCCTAAACTATATATAGATGGTGTGGGTTAGTAAAATATATACATGCTTATTTCTTTTCAATGCTGGAGTAATGACTGTTGTTACACTAAAATGCAGACATTTCTTGTTTGCAAATGCCACAATTTCTTTCAAGCAGTTGGTAGAATCATATCCCGGACCGTTGGTCTTAGTTTCAATTTTGGTGAGTTTTTCTCCTTGTACTAGGAATCCTAAGACATACTTTTTGTATCTATCTTCAACAGACTGTCATCTTATCATCTACATTATTTATTATTTTAGTCCTGGACTGGTAGGCCCCATTGAGAAAATTAAGGAATCCTTGATAGGCTCCTATGGAGCACTGCAAGGCAAGAAAGGGTTCCACTGAGCTAAAGGCTTGTTGGATACATTGTTATTACTTAAGGGTTTTACCGCAAAAGGCCTTTTCTATTCTCTGGTTAAATGATTTCACCCTCTTACATATGCAGTGTCCAGACCCACATTTCAAGAAAAGACATCATAAAAGAAGAGTTCTGCAGAAGCCTTTGGTTGGAGCTATAGTAGATAATTTAATGCCTGGGGGACAGGTATAATTTCTGCATGGTCTTATTATTTTTTAATTGATTGTAAATCTCGGGTGTTCATCTAGAGTTTTGGTAAATATTCTCTTGTGAGATTTCCTTCTTATACTGTCTTATTTGAATTTGTATGAATTAGAAATTTCTGGTATTGATATGAGAGCCACACTCCCATATTCTATCTCTCTTCCAAGAAAATAAATTAAGAATGAAGATGGTGCAATGCTATGAGTATTTCTATAACCGTTGATATAGAAATATTATTCTTTAAGGAGTTTTGACGGAACTATGTTATGAGGAAGATAAATGAGTGAATACTTGACAACACAATTTGGTCTACTTGTGATTATATACTAATTGACTCTTCCAGTTTGAAGATGATTATCAGCCATATGTACCCCATACACAATTTGCAATCGAAAAAGAAATGAGGAAAACCAAAATGAAGTTGGAGATTGAAGAGTTGAGTATTATACTCAAAACCAAACTGCCACAATGCGTCAAGGCCTATAGTATTTCTTTTTTCATTGGTGATGGGAAGCATGATGATCTTTGATCTCTGCTTTAGCTTGCTAAGTGACTAACGCGTTATTATCCTTTCCTTCCTGCTTGCTAGAGATTAGTTAAACTATTACTTTGAGTCTTTGACTGACATATAGGGATTGGAGGCAATGAGCAAAACAGAATTGCAAACTTTATATCCAAAAGACGTCATTTGGTCATGAGCAATATGACTTTTTAGTATCCCACAATTCCTTCTGTGGTTGTGCCACTATCTCTTATGCTTTGTGGAATGTCAATATGTAATGGAAAAATTCAATGCAGTTTTGTTAGAGAATTGTGGCTTAGTTATTCGCCATTTTGGCATGTATTTCAACTAGTGAGTTTGGGTAGTTTGGATCCAGCTGTAGCAGGGTATGGACCTTTTATCATTTTATTATTATTAATTCATATTTTTGGTTCTTAATTTTCCTTTTATTTTACCAACATTTCATACCTGCAAGAAGAGAGTTATTTAGTTTTGGGCAGGGGAACTTCTGGGGGGAGTGAAGCGATACTGTCATGTTTGTAGTTATTTCTGGAGCTTTTGGCTGAAATTTCACGTTTGTAGTTATGTTTATGACAGGTATTCATACAGTCTGATGTGCTTGAAATGGCACTTGACATGAGAAATCAGTTTGATGAAGCTGAAGCACTGGAACACATAGATGTTGTGAACACGGCTATATTGTGTGACAGTGAAGGGTGGTTGTTAAACAACCCCATGGGAATAAGGACTGAGAGAGAGATTCACGCAGAACTTGAAGGTGCAAAGATGTATAGAAGATTGTACCACAAGCATATGTGAGTTCTGAAGCTTGACTATTTTTGCTGATTGTCTGTCTCAGACTTGAAGCTTAAGTTGAAGGTGCAAAAATCTATCAAAAACTCGTATCAGACACACTGCACCCCACAAGACACTTCAAACCGTAGTAAAATGCTTGGCATTTTTCGTGTCTGTTGTATCCATGCTTTTCATATGTTCCAATTCCAACCACAGTTAGATAGTAATCTCCCTCTCTCCATTTCTCTTTTCTGGTGGGTTGTGTTTTGGCCTGAGAAGTATTATGATGTTACTACCCATGAAGTTCTCATGTTTAGGGCTTTGTGTATTTATTCATCTTTATAGTGTTTTGTTATCCATAAGTACTGTAATTGAAAAGGTAATTTTAGCAGTTTTTTTACGACTCATAATGTTTTTTATTTTATTTCCTTATTTGATTAAGGTTATTTTATTATATCAATAGAGAGTAAGCATATGTATCAACTAGTACAAGATTATTTCAGTTTAATTCAAGTTCGAGTTCTAACAAATCTTCAAAACACGAAACATTAAAAACAAGGTAGTAATTTTGTGAATTGAAAAATGGGCATGAGAGATTTATTCTCTTAAAGATACACTTAACTCGAATTAGATTAATCAAGATTTAGTGTGATTATTGGATAGCAAGTTCCAAACGAAAGAAAGAATTTAATTTGAATTGGTATAGTTACTTTGTATTTTCTTTCTTTTCAAAATACATAAATATTGTACAAGTAATTGCGAATGCAGTTATAACCATGGGTTAATAAGGTAAACATAGTAGGTAAGCTTTATTGAGTACACAGTACCTTCCTTCCGTGCAGCTAATCACCAATCTTCATTCTTCAGAAAAGAGTGACTTAATTTTGGAGGCTTTTTAGCAGGTGAGAAGCTCATTTCCTTTACTAACTGTTCCGTTTGTTCAATCCTTCATATTTGTTCAATTTTTCACAAGCTTCTTAGCACCCATTGATAGTTATTAGTTAAAGCTAAAGGTGATTTCCTAACCTTTGATTCTTGTTTCTTTTGCACCAAATCAGATAGGAAATTAAGCTTTGTGATCTCAAAAATTGTAAGTGTATTTTTCAACTAGAGTGGGAAAATAGGAATTTAGAATGATGGATATTATTAATAGGAAGGTTAAATTCTGTTTTATTATGGATTCCTTAATGGGAGATTTTGTCTATCCATGTTGACCTTACTCCATATTAGTGATGACAAAATGCACCCGGACCTTACATATATATGCAAAAAAATACTCTCAATGGAGAGGGTAAAAACCTACATAACAAGGATGCTACGTGGGGTGGCAATTTATGCTCAAAATACAATGAGAATAGAGATGGATATGGGTACTATAGAATCCACTCCACTGTAAATGCCTTATATTATATAATATAAGATCTTAACTTAAAACTTTAAATTGAAATCCTTTATTTATTCAATTAGAAGTGTTGTATCTTTTATTAGTGTTTTTAATTATTATACTATATAGTTTAATCCTTAGTCTTTATTATGTTTTAGTTTTTTTTTAAGTGTTATTAGATCAAAATAATATTTAAACTAGAGAGATAAACATCTATACAATATCTCATGATGGTAAGATGAATATACAATATGCATAATAATATTTATATTTAATATATATAATTTCTAATAATAAGGTTTTTAACAATAATAGTTTAATTTAAAATTTTAAAAGTGTTATTATTATACGAATGTAAGACTAATGTTGTAAATATTCACTAACCTTTTCACATGTATAGATTTATATTGTCTTACATATTTTGTATTTTTCAGTTGAGACAATGATCAATTTAACTAGTGGTTATGACTTCTAAAATTTATCTATTTGACATCCGTTATCTTCATTAGTAAATTTTGAATTTTGAATTTATAGAAAAGATCACAGTATAATAGTTTGTTAATTTTTTGAGTATTATTAGTCATTATAAAGAATGAATAAGAATTGCTATGTTGACCTAGAAGGGAGAAGTTGGAATAGTATATTAGAAGTTCTAGGTTTGAACCTTAGTAAGTCTATTGTGTGAAAAAAAAAAAAAAAGAATAATTTAGATGATGAACAAGGTTTGTTGGTCTACTTAGTTGTATTGGTTTCTTTATAGATATTGCATATAACAAGTTACATAAATAGGCTTTAGAGTTTCAAGCTATGCAAACTTTTAAACAAGTCAAGTTAAATTTTAAAATAAAAAAAGTTTATGACAAGTAAATAAAACTCATTAGACTATGGTCCACGAAGTTTAACTTAGTTGACTTGTTTCCACTCTTAATAATGATGATAATGTTAAATGATTATAATTTATAATTAGAACTTTATATTTATAATGTTATTTGATTATAAATTATTTTTGAATGATTTAAAGTTATGTTTGGATCATTTAAGAGTGAATTTTTAATTTAGTTATAACAATTTTTCTATAAATGCGAGTAACACGTGTTAGTATGAGTATATAAGTATTTAATAGATATCGAGATAAGAATTATTTACTTGTACAATTATGAGGGTAGATAGAAGTATTCAAATGCAAGTTCAGAAAAAGGTACCAGTACCTTACTCATTGTCATCCCTATTTCATATGTCGTTAACTAAAGCCACTTGAAAATATTACACTTACTCTTCTTGATGTACTCAAAAGTAATTAAAGTGATTCTTTATTGTTGTGGGTAAATAATTTATTTAGTGTAATTTATTTTAAACTTAAATATTTTTTTTGTCTCTAAGATATATCTGCTTTTTTTCTTTTGGTCACTAAATTTTTTTTACTTAACTTTTAATCCTTGTATTTTTTTTATATTTTTTGTTTTATAATTCTTGTCGTAATTTTTTTCGTTGTTTTTGGATGACATGTTGAATATTTTAACACTGTTTCAAGCGAATTTAAGTCACTTGATTTTAAGTTTATAAGTTAAAAATGTTTTTGAGAATTTATATATTAATAAATGTTCATTATTTTCAATAGAAAACTTCTCAATCTTTTTTCTTCTTCTAAATATGCATGTAAATATGCTTGTATGTATAAAAAAACTATTTAGTATGTAGACAGTGAATATGTTCCACCATGACATGATTTATAAAAGAATAAATCTCTCACCCGTTAAGGTATACTTTTAGTTAAATAAAATATTAGTAAAAGAATAAAATAAAGAGGAATTGATGGCGAAGATTCAACTGCGAAAAACTGCAGGGGAAATAAATGCCTCCATGATTTGAAAGATGGCAAGAGAAAATGAATATGCTTCAAAGGAAAAATATTTTGGTTTCCTTAAATTTTAGGGTATGTTTAGTAGGTGATACATAGGTGAAAAATGTGAGTGTGAAAAATGAGTTTGATTGTTTGGCATGAAAGATATTAAATGCTGAGAAATTAAAAAGTTTGAGTTGGTTACATTTTGCAGTTTTTTTTTAGTACATTATTTTTATATTATTTTAAGTGTTGGGTGGTTTTGAGTCTTTATAATTAGAGATGTATTAGATTGAGAATTTAAAAATTTTAAAGAATTTTTTTTGGTTATAAAGAAGTTTATGATATTTAATTAAGATAATTAAGATGTTTTTAAAAAATATCAAAATTTTGTAATATTTAATTAAGATAATCATAATTTTTTTAAGAGTATATCAAAATTTGGTGATATTGAATTAAGGTTTTTTTTCACTTAAAAAAATTTGTAAGTATCTAAAATATAGAGATTTCAATGAATTATTTTGATATATAAATATTGTGATAATTTTTAATAGAACTCACAAATAATTTACCCATTTAATAATCTCATTAAAATTATTGAGATTTCACATAACTTTTTTTCTTTTATTTCTTTTTTATTTCTCTCTCCCTCTCTTTCTCTATCTTATCTTCTCTTTTCTCCCTCTTTCTATTCTTTCTCTTCTCTTATGTCTTCTCTATCTAATATTCTTTTTCTCTTTGTGTTCATCTCTCTCATTTATCTCTTCTTCTTTTTTCTCTATTTTTTCTCCAAATTTTTTTCTGTCCATATTTTTTTGTGACATTTTTATCTATCAATATTGATATATAACTTATCAATATTTTTTTTTAATTATTAAATATTTAAAATTATATTTGAAATATTAAATATTAAATATTGTTAAAATTTTTAAATTATTAAAACTTAACAAATGTTTATTTTCAATAAAATTGAATATTGAAATATCAAAATTTTAAACATATATTAAAAATATATTTCAACAATTCTACTCGTTAAATGAATATTATAAATTTGAACATATTGTTCAAATTCAATAGAATGAATGAGAAAATGTAAATGCATATAAAGTTGTGCATAGAGAAATATTACTTAAGAGAATATGAAATCAAAATCAATTGTTTATCATTTTTCTATTAATTGTATTTTTTTTAAATCATATTTCTTTTGAAATTTAATAAAATCCTTTCAAATCTTATAAATTCTTAAGATATAAATTCATTAAAATTCATATTATAAAATCTTAATTAAAAAGTCTTTTAAAAAAATCTTAAAAATCATTACATTCATATGAAATCTTTTAAAATTCGCAAAACATTTTTGTGATAAAAAAGTCTTATGAGTATTGAATGATAGAGAGAGGGAGAGAGAGAGAGAGAAGAGAAGCAGAGAATTTGTAAAATGTATAACTGATTCTTATTGATTTACAATGGAACAAAGCCACTTATTTATAGAGCAAAGCCACCTATAACAAAACTAACCACCCGAGAGTCATTTTTACAAATGCTTCTTTTATAGTTCACTCACATACCCCCTCACAAACCTAAGTTGGGTGAGCAATAGAGGATAGCTCAACAACTTTGAGTTTGTCTCTCAAAAGTAAAAATATAGCGGATGATAATGGTTTTGTTAAAGCATCAACCCATTGATCTTGAGCTGGAACATGCTCAACACCGAGTTGCTTGGCAAGAACTTTCTCTCGAACAGAAAAAAAAGAAGATTGATCTCCATATGTTTGGTCCTAGAATGAAGAATAGGGTTGTGAGCTAAAGAAATTGTGCTATGAAATCATCTTACAATAGTGAATTTGAGTCTACCACCCGAGAGTCATTTTTATAAATGCTTTTTTTTACAGTTCACTCACATACCCCCTCACAAACCTAAGTTGGGTGAGCAATAGAGGATAGCTCAACAACTTTAAGTTTGTCTCTCAAAGTAAAAATATAGCGGATGATAAGGGTTTTGTTAAAGCATCAACCCATTGATCTTGAGCTAGAACATGCTCAACACCGAGTTGCTTGGCAAGAACTTTCTCTCGAACAGAAAAAAAAAAAAAAAAAAAAATTGATCTCCATATGTTTGGTCCTAGAATGAAGAATAGGGTTGTGAGCTAAAGAAATTGTGCTATGAAATC